AGTAAAAACAGTAAAAATTGTTAAATGTTGTTGTTTTTTTTTTTTTTTTTACAATTTCAATAACAGTTTTCTATGTGAATATATAGTAAAATGTAATGTATTCCTGTGATGTAAAGCTGAATTTTCAGCATCATTACTCCAGTCTTCAGTGTCACATGATCCTTCAGAAATTTGGTGCTCAAGAAACATGTCTTTGATGAAAACAGTTCTTTTTTTTTTTTGTAGAAATTGTGATATATTTCGTTTTTCAGGATTCTTTGATGAAAGTAAAGCCCAAAAAACAGAAATAGCAATCTTTTGTAAGATTATAAATGTCTCTACTGTCACTTTTTATCAAATTAATGCATCCTTGGTAAATAAAAGTATTAAGTTCGTTAAAAAAAAAGAACTTTTGAACACTAATGCTATTCTAATAATCTGTTTATGCATTAAAATCAGCATTTCTATCTGCTCTATGACACATGAGCGCTGTTTGGTGATCGTCAGTCGATCCGGTTTTTCAGAGGACGGTGAGAGTGCAGAAGAGGAAGAGTTTGCTGGAGGAATTCAGAGGGCAGGAACAGGTACGTCCAGTCTGAACCGCCTGAATGTGACACACCTGTTTCAGTGGGCGGAGCCACTGCAGGTGACAGACAACCATAACACAAGACAGACAGGACCTCCACAGCCCATAGACGCAGAGACGGATCGCAGACGCAGCACGCGGGATGTTTAAGAAGAAGGAATACAGTCCTGTCAAGGCCGGGCAGTGAGTTTCCATCAGATCTTGTTTCTGTTCGCTCTCATATGATGTTTATACCTGTAGCAAGAGCATTATTATGGGTCATTAGATCACAGACACACACCTGAATGAATGACAGATCTGTCTAAAGGCGTTTTAGAGTAGAAACAGACTGCTGTTTATGCATTTTAGCTGTGAGTTGACTGGATTTGTGTGATTATGTGGAGTGTGTGATTTATCTTTATGACAGGGCAGGGCCGTATCTCACACACACACACACACACACACACACACACAGATCATTGAGTCAGCTGGATGTTTTATTAGGGATAAAGTACCGTAAAACTGGCGTTATTGCGAAATAATGCATGACGGGCTGATCCGTGTCTTTGGCCGATAATGATTGTACCTGATTATCTTGCTCATTACGTGACTAATCAACAAAAAACTTATCAAACGGAGCTGAAATACTGAGATTAATTTATTTTGTGACCAGAAAAACAGGTAGTGCTTGACAATAAGATTGCCGTTGTTAACATTGTATTAGTTAACATGACCTGTCAATGAAAAAAAGCATGTAATAATCGTAGTTAATGGTCGTTTCAATATTTACTAATGCATCAAAAGTTTCTGTTCATTTTATTTAATGTACCTGAGCTGACACGAGCTAACAATGAACAATTGTGTTTGATAAATACATTTACAAATGTGTTGCTCAACTAATGGGATCTTATTGTAAAATGTATTTTTCTGTGATGTTGGACAGAAAGATCAATCTGGATAAATTGAATAAGCATACATTTAATTTAATTTGTATTATATTTTATGTATTAACTAATATTATCAAAGTGTAATAAATACTGTTACAAATGTATTTCTCAACTATTGCCTATGGCCTTTATTATAAAGTGGTGCTGAAAGCCTAATTGCAGATGAATAGTTGACCCCGGACTGACAGCGTCGGCCAATCAGAGAGCAGGATACTGACAGGATGCTGCTGACAGCTAGTAAGGGGAGCTGGTTATGACAGTGAGTGACTGGTTGACAGTTTGTCTGTGTGCTGTGTGGGTTGGGACATCTAAACTACAGCGTATTCTGAGTAAACGAGTTCATGTGTCACATACAAACCGACAGGAGAGACCGGAGATGCTGTAGGACAGAAGATGAGCTATCTATTAGACTCTGACAGCAGCAGCAGACACGCCTCTTGTGTAACTATTAAACATGCATGCAGGTTTTATGACATTATTAATTATTCATTAGGTGATTTAAAAATGGTGGAACATAATTTTTTTATTCATATAAATTTTACACACCATCACATAAATTTTAGCCTGCTGAATAAAACAGATATAACAGTCTCTTGGTATCTTAAGACATACTCAGCAATATTGAACAAAAATAAATAAATAAAATTCTGTGTAAGTCAAGGAAGCACATTTTATTTTATTTTTTTAGTATTAATAATAATAATTTAATTTTCATAGCACTTTTCCAGAGATTTTTATATTTTAGTTTATTATTATTATAATAATTTTTTTGTTATATTTTACATTTTATATTATATTTAGAATTGTAATTATATTTTTAATTTAGTATTTAATAATTTAATAATTATTTTTATTTATATTAT